CAAATATATACATGAAAAGTACGTACAAATTCCAGATGCAACAGCACAATTAAGAAAATTTAGCGTGGCAGTGTAAAATATAGTTGACTGATGTTTAGATAACAAAATTTTTAGGTCTCTCAATTCAGTGAAACCTCAAATGGAACATCTGTTTGAATAAATTGTTCGCACGTTCATTATGCTACGCGTTCAGATCTCTTTTTAATTCAATCAGCCTTTGTATTGTTAGTTGTGTATATTTCGCGAAAGCATTTCGCATTTCCACTTACGATATGGCGCAATATTCTAGGAAATATTTCGGAGCGAAACTTTTGTAAAGAATTCTTCTCAAAACGCTCATTTCTTTCTATATTCAAAATTAAACTTGTTTATGGCTTACGTTAGGTATACGAGAATTAAGAAATCGTGCACAGAGTACACAACACAGTGTTTAACTGTTTTTGAAGTCAAATAAAATAAAAATAAATAGAAGCTGTTCTAAAAGTCATGCCAGTTATTTTCAAATAACATGTTTACAGCGATGCCAAAAACGTTCTGACTTAATCAATACTGCACGGGTATGAAACTTATACGGCATATAAAAAGTCCATCGGCATACATAAAATTAATAGTCGTATCTTCTTCAATTTTATTTATCGTTTCTGAGTAAGTTGAATTACCGAGAACTTTCTAGTGATCAGAATGTGAAGAAAAAGGGGGGGGGGGAATTAATTAATTTCATTTATTTGGGAAAATAGGTGCTTGAAAGCAAGTGGCTTCATGTTTAAATGCGATATGATACCAGAGAGTACGTACCACTCAACAAAAAATACGTTTGCTCAAATTGTGATGGTCACTAGTTAAAATGTGAAAATGTGACATGATATGAAAAGTAAGCGGCGTATAAAAGCGGCACGGTTTGGCAGAAAGTACTTCACTGGCAAAGAGGTGAAAAGTTGGAAATTACTGAATGAAACTTTCTTAATGTTAACGATTTTATTAGAATATATAAGATATCGCCCAAAACAAAATTACAATAGAGGATAGTCTCACGATAAAAACATGTTCGTCACCATTGATCTTTGCGAAGTACACAGTTCAAAATAACTGGTTTCGGCGATCTATCTAGAAGTTCAAGTTATTGATTCCCATTGTTTTTTGTGAACACATTTCAAATATCTCGACAGTCCAATGCGACTATCAAAAACATAGAAGAAAGCAAACGACTAATAAAACACGTACGAATAATAGAAAAAGAGCGAGTACAAAGAATTTGCTGGTCCATGATTGACCAGAAAAACAGTTAAGTTTTGATCAGTGTACCCATTTTATGCTTGCCAGGACTAAGAAGTTTTCAAAAGAAAAAACTCAAAATTAAAATAGGAATTTGAGATGGGAGTCGAGGGAAACTTATTATTCTGTGATAAGAAAGCACATCATCTTCTGTTCTAAAAAGAGCGCTTCAATTGTGAGCGTTAGAAGAACGGCGTTCCGACACGCGATTCAAAGGAAGCAGCTCCGAAGAGCAGACGGTTCGTGCTAATCCATTCTTCCTGAACAATGTGTTTCGCGGAAGGAGAGGAACATTCAACACCTTTCATGAAGCTTAATTTAACGGATCTCCTTCATCCTACAGTAAAAATCTTGCCGAAATTTTTAAGTACACGTCTCCGATAAAAATGCATACAAATATGTATGGTTTAATCAATGAATTACAACCACGTCTCTTCCTGTGCACTTTCGTACAGATTATTACATTCTTTCGTTATTCAATTTTAAAAGATGTTCAGTATAAAACACTAGCGTCTGGTAAAATATATCTACTAATTACAACTGCATTTGAATTTAATGAATTGCAAACATTGATTACATATTGAAATGTTAAGCACTCCAAATATTGAAACGTCACGGATTCAGTATTTGCATAGCTTAAAATACATTAGGAGAAGAATATTATGTAACCAGAGTTAGTGGTAATTTTCTGTAAGCGAAATGTTTATATTTTATTTTTCGTCATCCACCACTTTTAGAACACGATTTTGCGTCAAAAAGCATGCAATCTTTACGACAAACCTATTTCGAATTTGTATTACTTCACATTGTGTGAATAATTAACAAAAGAGACGCTTTATTACGCATATGCGAATATCGCATTGTAAACTCAATACCTTTTGTAGTATGTTCCCGAGACACATCAGTGCAATATGGAAAATGTAATACTGAATGTCTAATAATAGGGAACACACACTTAAAATCCAATCTTAAAGCATTTTCTGGTTATAATTTGAAACAGGTTTAAATGTAAAAAATCGCAAACTATGTCACATAGAAAAGGATAAATCATTTCTCAGTACACCTCAATGGGTAAATTATACCTAATTTCATATTGGCAAAGCATGGCATTAGAAGCAATGTTGAAGAGGAAGTGAATCTCAAGGAAAAAAGTAATCTTAATCAAAAATACACAAAACAGTGCTAACTCAGAGCTATTGTTGAAGCCTACTAATCTCTTCTGTTCTGCATGATGTGAACATCATGTTGAGGGTCGACATTATGATAAAAAGTGAAACGTCAGATTGAATACCGTGCTTTTCAATTACTCACTAACTTAATTTTCTGAAAAGTCGGTCACTAAGTTATGTCTCCTTCAAAACACACAAAGATTCAAACAACACAGTCATGCATCAAATCGTATCAATGCTCTCACCCGTTCACACGTTAAATTGTATTCTTGTTTAATTATAAACACAATTAATGAGCGATGAAATAGTTTAAATATACTTAGATTTAGATTTATTTAGTCAAAAAACAGTAAAAACGGAATGGGGAAACATCATCTGCGCATTTTCTTTAAGTTGCAGGATCCCTTCACATCATCTTAATTATAAATTCTTATTAAATAAACCACAGAAGGTTCCGTGAGGCTTACTCGTGTGGATATAAAAAAAAAATCAGAGAGACGAGAGGCCGCGAAATCAACGCATTATGCCTTATTTCTTACGAAGAATTACCAGGAAATAAAACTAACATCTTACATCCTCCCCAAATAATGCGATTATAAGAACTTTTTTTTTCACCCAACGGTTTTCATATTTCGGTATTATTGTCCTCACCTCTGATAGGCCTTTTATTAATCGTGCTCCATATTGTACGATAAAATTACAAATTTATCTCCAGCCAATGACATCTGCTGCGCTCTTGAAGCAAGAATTGCCGATTGTTGGATTTGAAATTTTCCCTGTGGCACAAAGATTTCCTCAACCCAAACCTCTCAAAATGGACGCTGCTATCACGCGTTCTCTCCCCCTCGCTCGTTTTGCCTGCTAACCAAGGAGCATGGGAATCGGCACTAGGGGCAGCTTGAGGGGGCAACGACAGCGCGTCGGCAGATAGTTAAGAGCTTAGGAGATATTGGCCTGTCGAAACGAGAGCGCAATTTTGCATTGCAGATTTGCCTCCACTCAGGTCTCTGACTGAGACGTTCACTATTTGTACCGAGTAATTAAACTTAAACAACGTATTATGTGAAAGATATATATTTATCGTGCTCTATCACATTGGGGAATGCGTCCTCAAAAATAAATCAAGTTAGCATAGGTACGGTAGATGCATTCTTGCTTCGCCGACATTACGACTACATAACACGCGGCAGTCACATTAGTAGACAGATATCGCTTACTTCACCGACAGAATGGACATAACTGTTGAACTCGTGTTCGAAAAGTGTGGCGGTGTCAAATTCACAAACTCCAGAGACGACGAGTGGGTCCTTCTTTACATGACCAACACATCGAGGAGTAAAAATGAATCAAGAGATTATTTTTTGAGTATGCGATTATCAGTTGTCATAGATATATAGGACGAAAAACAGCCAAAATGGCCATATATGTGGTAAACGAAATCAGCTGTTATTACTTTTAGAGTATATCCAGGATTGTGGTTACGCGGCAAGATTTAATCGCAGATTGGCTGAGAATTTTCGTTTCAAAAACTAAAGTAAATCTCAGCTGTATACATTTCAGGTACGAGGCCCTCGGCCTGTTCGAGAAGAGTGCAAGACCGTCGTACTCTCTCTAAAGGTGTCCCGTGCTCCAAGGGCATTTACGTGGACTGGGAAGAGAGCGCAGCCTCGCATAAGGGTGGCATATCGGTCTGAAAAGAGAGAAAGATTTATGTGTCCTGGCGCCGGGTGTCCCACCGCCTCAAGAGATGGACGTGAAAGGCGCAGGCGATGATTTGGAAGCAGAGATGGTGGGCGGTCGCTGAATGCAGCTAGTATTATTTGAACACGCTCTCCTTGAAAACATTGCGGTAGTTTGCACACGTGAACAAAAATCAGGTATCATATAACAAACGTGGAGCAATTAATATATCATAAAATTACTACGAAAGTTGTATTCAATTATAAGTCTCATTTTTTTAAATGCATACGAACGGCCAAAGGAATGCATTTCGTTATCAAGCAAAAGTTTCCAATTGACACAAAAACATTTAAGTTATCAAAATTATGAATATCTATTAGAAAATAGATGTCCGTGAAGACCACTACTTGTCATACACTTTGTGAGTCGCAAGTTATTGTAAACACAAAGCCATCAATAGAGTTATCAGCAATACACGACGTAGACTCAAGAATTCATGTAAAAACTTCCACCAAATTGAATTTCTACCGGTTTGAAGATCTCTCAAGTAATTTGACCCAAAGATAAAATAATATATCTCCTTTATGATAGTCATTTCCGTCTTTCAGAAAAATTTTAAAAATCTAACATTTGTCTCGTTAGTCAAACTTCATCCGCAGTTTTCTCGGTAATTGCTAACAAGGTACCCCAATGCCGTGATAATTGCGTCCGGTCCAATGATCTAAATGTGTGTACCCTCAAATACTACCCGAATTTGAATGCCAAATAAGCTAAATCGTTACTTACCAATATCAACGGCACAAACATAATACCCATTCCAAAAATGATTACACTAAGTTCGACCTTGCTCATTCACACACACTGCAGGCTTGCGCCTACCTGATAATCCATAAAGTTCCCGTATCCCATGTGGTTGCAGGTGCAGGAGCATTGCTGGATGTGCTGTCGAATGTCGAGCTCGATGTCGCCCCACTCGCTGGAGCCGGGCGCGGCGTGGCCGGGCGCGTGCAGGACGCGCGGCGCGCACGGGGGCGGCGGCACGCCCCCAGGGGGCAGGCCGGGAGGCCGGGGGGCCCGGGGATGGGCCCGGTAGCAGGTCCCCGTGGCTTCGGGGCTGGGGCGGCCGCGGTGCAGCCCGTGCGCAGGCCAGGGCGCCGCCGCCGCCTCGCCCGGCGACGTGCGGCCCGCGCCCGGGCGCGCGGCGTCGTGCCGCGGCCGTGCGCAGGGGGCCCGGCAGCAACTCCTCCATCTGCATGGGGCGGCCGGCGGACAGTCAGTTGGCGGCGGCGGGGCGCCGCCTCGGCCCGCCATGCGCCCGCGCGTGTGTTGCCCAGCAGGAGAATATCAACACATTGCGAGCTCGTTTCGCGGAGCCCCGCCCCGCCCCCCTCCCGAACGGGGGCGCTTTCCCAGGCGCGGGAGCCCACCGCCTGCTCTAACGGGGCGCGGGTACTCGCTCTCACAATCTCCGGTCCGGGCCGGCGCGGCCCCCGCCACGCACCCCACACACACACACAAACACTCGCGGAGGCGAAGCACTGGCCGGCCCGAACGGGCACAGCGACTCGAGTCCTCCCTCCCCGTCCGAGTGAAAGCCGCGACTGTCAGCGAGTCTAGCGGAAACATGGGGTGCTGCGCCGCTGGCCGGGGAGAGGCAGAGTTCGTCAAGACGAGCACCGTTGTCGCCTTAGAGAGCGTGTCCTTTCTTGGTTTGTCAGCGAGAGTCCGCGGCGGGCGCGCTGGCGGGGCGGGGCGGCGGCGCGGCGCGGCGTTTGCGGCGGCCGCCGCGTCACAGTGCTGCGCGCGGCGCCGGCGGGTGCATGGCGCGCCGGCGGGAGCGCGGCCGCGCGGCGGAGGCGCGTCGCCGCTGCTGCGGCGGCGTGGAGGGCGGCGGCGGGAGGCGGCTGGCGGGCCGGGCGGAGCGCCCGGCGGGTGGCGACGCGGCGGCAGCGCCGGGCCGCGCGCGAGGGCAGCGCCGCGTGAGCTGCTGACGAGCTCCGGACAGCGTCTGGCGGACGGCGCGGCTGCGCGCGGAAGCTGCGCGCGGCGGAGGCGGGGTTCTGCGCCGCCGCGCCGCCGAGCCGGCGCCGGCCGCCCGCGCGGACCGCGCGCTTCCCGAGAAACGCCGAGCGCCGCCGACGCGCTCGCACGCCCGCGCCGCCTGCCCGCCGACCCCGCCAGCGGATAATAGATGCCTTGTATTTGACGGGCGGCGAGACGTGTGCGCGGGGTGGCGGTGCGGGGACGCGGCGGTGCGCGCCGCGGCGCCTCGCAGGGGGGACTCGGCCCCCGACCCCCCTTTTCACCTCCCCGTTTACCCCCGGCCCTCGCCGCCGACCCGAGGGCGGAAACAGAATTGGAAGATAATTCTGTTATATTAAGGGTACAGCCGGTAAAACCGTCTGTCCGGGCATAAGGGTAACGCCGCCGAACCCAGAAAAGTTTGTGGAGCTCAAAGAGAGAGACGGAAAGATTGACGAAGAGAGAAGCTGCACGGGATGGTCGCCCTTTCGTTATTAAACCATCAGCTTCGCGACGTGTGAACCTTAACCTTGTAATCGAAAATATGGAGGACCGTCTTGAGGGCCTCGCGGGAGGGGCAACTGGCGGAACGAGGACGTGGGTGGCGGAACGAGGTGCGCGGGGGAGCGGCGGCGGCGGCGGCGGCGGCATCAAACGCATTGCCCGCCTAATGATCGCAATCTCTCCGTTACCGCAAAGTAGGTCCCTCGTTTCCGAAGTGCAAAGGGCGTGTGAGGTAGGGCAAGGGATGTGCTCGCTTCTAGGGTGGTGAATGCTCTCTCGAAGGAAGGAGACCCTGAGAAAGAGAAGGTCGAAGAAAGGAGGAGGGGGAGCTGTGGAGCAAATAACGAGCACCCGAGGAGATCGCGATTCATAACTTTAGTCCCTCTTTCCCGCCTTTCCGCACTCGCGTCCGTAGGCGCCGCTATCCGCCGGGTGATTAAAGACGGCTTCGCCCCACAAACACGCTAGTTGCCCGAGGAGGGGGAGGTGCTTTCATATGCACCAAGGATTAGTTTCTGGAAGCAAATTATTTGACTTTTAAAGGAGTTTCTTCAGTCTGACGCGTACAGTAAATTTATATTTAATTTCAAATTGGTTCACCGAGTGCTATTGCCTTTTAAAATGTGTTAGTTGAAAGTGTTTCCACTTTGCCACTTTTGTCTAGTTTACGTTAGATTATGTTGCCTTGTTTTCCTAGACTAAGAGAACGCAGTCTAAAACTCAATTTCAATTTAAAACTAATAATTCTCAATTTGACAATTCATTTGCAACTGTAGATATTCTTATAATTTTCGTAGTAGAATAATTCGTAATTCCGGTACAAATACATCACAAGCATAGATTGACTTCAATAAAGTTCAAATAATTCTTCATAATCAAAAGGTTTTGTCGAATCGGGTGCAGGAATAGTGTACACGGTTTGCAGATTTTCTAATATTTCTTACATCTCCCTTATGGTAACATCATTGTATCATATTTGTAATAAACGTCCCAAATTTTTTCACTGAAAAGGCAATGAAAGTTATAGAAGACGACTTGATATTATTAAAAAGTAATATAATTTTTATAAATATTTAATAAGAGAATAACATGATGTAATATATTTATTGTAATTATATTTAACTACTTTTTTGTCTCATTATAAAATATGTTTCTTTTACATTTAATATTACAACGAAGTATGGTTTAACCACATTTCTTCACGATAAACATTTAGTCCGTTGTAAATGAATTCGTAGTTTCCATATTTCAAATTCCTTTAATATTTGTTTTAAATCCACTGTATATACAGTAGAGTTGTTTTCTTCAAAAAATTATGCAATTAAAAGTCTCTTTACATTTTACATTCTTACCATTTTATGTACTTAAGAAGTAAATAGAAAGTATTGTAATACTCTGGCAAAAAACGCAATTTCGAGAGTAAAACTCGTGTTGTGGGGCCGTAATATCAAAAAAGTGGTTAAATATTATTTCTACTTGTAGGACAATACGTCTACGATATTGTGTGGTCAGAATTCACGTTTGGTGCGTATTTAATATTGGAAAATCTGTTAATAGCAAAAATCTATTCATCCATGTGTCCGTCTGTCTGTGGTCAATGCTAGAGCCTAATACGTTTTTCACAAAAAAATATATTTACCCGTCTGTCTCGAATCCCTGCGAATTTAAAACGGTTATTTTAGTTTTGGTGGTACTTTATATGAACCCTTCACATTTACAAAAATCACTAAAACGGCTCAGAACTTTAGGATAAAATTTTTTCCTCAAAACAGCAAAGGATACTTAAAACTAGCGCACGTCTCAAGTTGTTCAAAAGTTCAAAATTTTTCATAAAAACGGCACCATTTTTTTCATTTTATTTCTTGAATAGGGTAAAGTACACTTTCAAAAAATGACGCGGATGCGATTATTGTTCGGACTTGAACTGCAAAATGATACGAGAAAGTATGTGCTATGGCACTACAAGCAGCTTTTTCATTGAAACTTTATACGTTTATTTCATTTTGTTGCAAATGAAAATTTTGCTACAAAAATAGAACACCTATTAAATGTTAGAGAAATAAAAGGACATTTCTCCAAAGTAGAAGACAATTGCAATTATGATCAGCATGAGACTTTCAATGATTAACATATATAAGTTTGTAATGAAATATATGTTTTTCTAATCTCACACATCTACACAAGTAATTTTTAATGTCAATTTTTTCTGACATATTTTCTTGATAGTGAGTAGAATACTAAATGAAATAAACGAGTTTTATATATTATTAGAAATTACATCAACTCTTATAAAGGCGTCATTCAGTAAAGTTAGCTTAGTAATGCAACTACAGTGTAACTAAAAATAGCGGTGATACAGATTCCATTCTTGAAAACACAATGGTGAAACTCAATTTTAGTTTCGTGAATTATCTCTCAAGAGCAGTAAATCAAGACGGACACAGAACTCTGCAAACACACAACAAACTGCAAACAACCGCTGCCAACTTCGAAATCCTAGTGAGCTTCTTTAGCGAACGCAACGCTCTCAAAGCGGAAATCTTAAGCGGCCGCGAATACCTATCTCGCAAGTCAAAGATCTATGTGCGAAATACATTTAAGTAAATGCTTTTAGTGAAAGCGACTGTAATGTCGAAAGATACTTGGGCGTGGTTTCCCAGAGGAATTGGATGAGTAATTTTCCTTATTATCCATTTATTTTCTTATGCTTTGAACAAAAGCGCATCTATTGATATTTTGAAAATCTACAAAAGCCGTCAGGTAACTTCATTTCTAAGCTTCACACTTGGTATGCGAGATTAAAAATATCTTACTTTAAAGCCTTTTTCAAGGTTTGTTGTTTACATTATTCGTATATGCAGCTATTGGTACATCGTATGTTTCAAAGTCCGTCAAGTCAATGTGCGACTGCTTAGAAGAATAGGTAAAACAGATGTACAAAACCGGTGGTGTTACATTACATACATTCTCAGATTATTTGTAACTTTTTTAATTCTCGAAAATTCAGAGACATCAATGAAAATTAAATCTGTACGATTTACATAAACGGACTTTGCTCCATTCCAGAGAAAAACAAAGAAAGATTTTGGAGCCGTTTTTGAAAAAAAATTATTTTGCCGACATTTCACTCATTTCGAAAACTTGTACCAACCTTACTTAAAGATTTGTGTTTGAAGAACGGATTCGATTACGGAATACATTCTATCTTTTATATTATAGTTGAAGGAAGACTAAAAAATGAGAACTTACCTAATGTTTGATAATTCAGATATTTCAACGATAATTAGACATGCGCCATTTTTAAAAGACTTTCTTTCCTATCCCCAAGGAAAAATTTAATCCAAAAATATGAAGCTCTTTTTAAGAAAATGTTAATTTAAAGAACTCCAAAGAATTAAAATACCTGTTTCAACATCGGAGTGTCTCGAGTTCGGCCAGTTCGATTGAGGAATTCAATAATATGAGTTTTCTGGCTAGAAATTGTCAATTTCCTCTGCATCATTACAATACTATCTCATCATTTTCGATGTCCTTGTCGAGAAAATAAAAAGATGAATATTAAGACTACTTTTATGGTAACCTCTGATGCTTTCGAGCAAGCACTTTCCTTATTTTATTAGTTGAGAAACGAAAAGAATGCATAAACTTGTCGTGAGAGGTGACCCAGGTTATCAAGTGATGTCACTGCAGTGCCTCTGATATTCCTGAGATTCGAGATTCGAGATTCGATCCCGACGGTGCGAAGGCAGGAGCAAGATCGAGTTGCGTCGCTGTCGGACGGCTGC